AAGAAAGAAAGAAAGAAAGAAAGAAAGAAAGAAAAGGAAAAAGGAAAAAGAAAAAAGAAAAAAACTATCTCTGGTGTTTGGTGCATACACATTTAGGATTGCTATGTCTCTTTTGTGGATTTACCTTTTTTTTTAAGATTTTTATTTATTTGAGGGGCGCCTGGTGGCTCAGTTGGTTAAGCGACTGCCTTCGGCTCAGGTCATGATCCTGGAGTCCTAGGATTGAGTCCCGTATCCAGCTCCCCACTCGGTGGGGGGTCTGCTTCTCCCTCTGACCCTCTCCCCTCTCATGCTCTCTCTCACTCTCTCCCTCTCAAATAAATAAATAAAATCTTTTTTTAAAAAAAGATTTATTTGAGAGAGAGAGCACGAGAGGGGAAGGTCAGAGGAAGAAGCAGACTCCCTGCTGAGCAGGGAGCCCGATATGGGACCCGATCCCGGGACTCCAGGATCATGACCTGAGCCGAAGGCAGTCGCTTAACCAACTGAGCCACCCAGGCGCCCTGGATTTACCTTTATATCATTGTTATGTTCCCTAATAGTTTTATTTGCTCTTAAATCTACTTTATCTGATATTAATGTAGCCATTCCTGCTTTCTTTTCTTTTTTCTATTCCAGTTCTCTTTTGATGAATGTTACCATGATACATCTTTTCCCATCTTTTTATTTTCAAACTGCCTATATCATAAAGTGAACTATGTATAGATGAACTATAGGCTGGGAGTATAGCTCTCTGGCTCCAGCTTTATGAGAATCTCCACCCACACACTGGAGCAGGCTTTGTTCTTCAACCCTCTCAAGGCCCATGAGACCACAGAAATTCATATGCAATGTTAACACTGGCAAATACCCTCAAGATAAAAGCCAACTTCAGTGCTTCAGTTACCTAAGTTCCCATCTTCACACTCAGTCCTTGACCTATGTATTTTCTCACTTAATAGTTTTCACTGGGGGGCGCCTGGGTGGCTCAGTCAGTTAAGCGTCTGTCTTCGACTCAGGTCATGATCCCAGAGTCCTGGGATGGAGCCCTGCGTCGGGCTCTCTGCTTATTGGGGAGCTTGCTTCTCCCTCTGCCTGCCGCTCCCCCTGCTCGTGTGCTCTCTCTGACAGATAAAAAAAAAAAAAATCTTTAAAAAAAATTAGTTTTCACTGGGAAGGTTGGTGTGTGCATGTTGCTGGAGAGCCACCTTAATCCTTAAAACAGAGCTCTGACAGGGGCGCCTGGGTGGCTCAGCTGGTAAGCGTCTGCCTTAGGCTCAGGTCATGATCCCAGGGTGTCGGGATCGAGCCCCGCATCGGGCTCCCTGCCCCGCAGGAAGCCTGCTTCTCCCTCTCCCACTCCCACTCCCCCTGCTTGTGTTCCCTCTCTCAGTCAAATAAATAAAATCTTAAAAAAAAAAAAATGAACAGCTCTCTGACAAGTATTACTGCTCTCATCTTACAGATCATGAATGTATGACAGTGTGAAAGATGATATAATATAGTGGAAACGTGAGTTTGAGGCAGGCCAACCTGGGATTGAATTTTTACTCTTCACTTAGCTGTGTAATTTAGGGCAGCTTACTTAACCTCTTTATTTTATTTATTTATTTATTTTTAAAGATTTTATTTACTTGTCAGAGCAAGGAGATTTTATTTACTAGCTGAGCAGGGAGCCCGATGCGGGACTTAATTCCAGGACCCTGGGATCATGACCTGAGCTGAAGGCAGACGCTTAACCAACTGAGCCACCCAGGCGTCCCTCACTTAACCTCTTTAAATGTGTTTATTTATCCATGTCATAGTACTTCTCATAGTGTTACTGGGGGCATTAAATGAGAAATTCATTAAGGTGCTTAGCATTTTATTAAGTACCTAGCCCTGAATAAATGGAAGCTACTCTGATCATTGTTGTCCTAATTGTTGTTAAAGGGTCAATAACTTGGGGTGCCTGGGTGGCTCAGTCGTTAAGTGCAGTTAAGTATGTTGCAGGGCTGAGATTCAGACTTAGGTCTGTGATTCTAAAGTCCATACTCTTTTCCCTACACATGTTGCTTTCTTAACTTGTTTAAACGGTATGCACAGAGGAAAAAAAGAAAAGTAATAATTCACAGATCTTTCACACATTTATCTGTATCATATCTAAATAATCTACACTTATTTAATTATTTTAAAAGTTGGTTTTTTAAAACTGTATGTATATATGTATGTAATCTCTACACCCAACGTGGGTCTCGAATTTCACAACCCCAAGATCAAGAGTTGCGTGCTCTTTGGACTGAGCCAGCCAGGTGCCCCTAATCTAAACATATTTTTTTTTTCAAAGATTTGTTCATCCATCCTAGAGAGAGGAGAGGGAGGGTCAGAGGCGGGGAGAGAGAGAGAGAGAGAATCCCAGAGGGGAGACGGATGCGGGGCTCCATCCCAGGACCCTGAGATCATGACCTGAACCAAAAGAGTTGGATGCCCAATCAACTGAGCCACGCAGGCACCCCTCTACACATATTTAAATGGCTAATTTCTGTAGGGAATAGAAAAAAGAGTCTCAGCACTTGATCTCACTAGATTTTGATTCCATCAAGAACAGTTTGTACTTAATGCAGTACTTCGACATTCAGGCTGTAGAAATAAAGACCTAGATTTGTGTTCTAGCTTCTCAACCTCTAAGATCCACAATTCCTGGTCTGTTAAATAGGAATAATGACATAAACTTCCTAGTAGGAATATTTTGAAGATAAGATAAAAGAGTATATTTAGAAAAGGACCTAAAACATGGTAAATGCTCCCAAATGGTAACTATTTTTAGAACCAAAGGCAGAGACTATTTTCTACATTTATTTGTTGATAGTTCATAATAGTTCAACCAATCAATAATTAGTGCTCATTTGTACAACTAAAGAAAATACATGGCACTCAACCTATTTGATATTAAACAGGGTATTAAATTAAAAGGACACTAAATTTGATTCCTTACAGCCAGAAGCTTATTATTTATGATAAGCAAACCTCTTACAGAGCTGGCTCTATCACCTATGAATCTCAGAAACTACAAAAACACTTAGAATCATCATTCTCTCTGAGAATGTTTAGAGGTTCAAGTGTTTTAGCCTGCATAACCAGAGGAAAGTTTCTATTTCTGCTTTGGAAGATAATTTTCTCTTTCTTTCTTTCTTTTTTTTTTTTTTTAATAATTTTCTCCTTCCTACAAGGAAGAAAAAAATACAAGAAAAACCATTTCTTTTTTAATGGTTTATAAAGACCTATTGCTCAAATTCATGATATAAAGAGATGAATATATAAAAGGGTTCACTCTCTCCAATAATCAGGAAAAATGTATAAATAAAATTCAAACTATAATTACCTCCTTCTTCTGTTCTTCCCCAGCCACTTATAAAACACTTTGTGTTTTGGTCCAGTTTTTGGAAAACATCAAAAGGCAGACAAATAGGCTTAATATAGTCAGTATACCTCACTGCTTTTTTTAAATGAAATAGTGCAATATCATTTACATAAGTTTCCAAATTGAAGTCTGGATGGATAATGATTGCTTTAACTTTCATCTTCTTGGAGTGTGGATGATGCCCTTTTATACTATTAGTTCCAATCACAACTCTCCACATTAAAGGATCTCTGAAAGAGAATAAATGTTATTATAAACATGTTATTTAACTAAGTAAATATTCTTAATCTCCTAGTTTTTGTTTTTCTCATGTTAGATTAATAACAAAAATTTAATCCTACTTTCATGTACATGAAGTCACATCAAATAAAAACCAAAATATCATGATGGAGAAAAAGATCAGTGGGACAGAGGGTCCAAAACCAGATTCGAGTACATGAGATTTTAATATATGATTAAGGTAGCACTTCTTGCCAGTGGACAAAAGAATGAATGATTTGATAAATGGTATTGGGACACCTAGCTAACTAACTAGTTTGAAAAGTGAAATAAAATTAAATCTCTGAAAAGCACTGAACAGTAAAATAAAATTGAAATTGATTAAATGTTAAATGTAAAAAAATTTTTAGTACAAAATCTTTAAAGTCTTTACTTTTAAAGATACATAAAGTGGTATGTCTGAGATTTGCTTCAAAATAACTGAAGGAAGGAGTTGGTGAGGATAACGATGAAATAAGATCAGGCATGAGCTGATAATTTGAAGCTGGGTAATAGGCATATGGGAGTTCACTAAACTATTCCCTTTACTTTTGTAAATTTTGAGGTTTTAGAATGAAGCATTTGGATATTAAATTAGCATGAGAATTATAAAAATTAAACCAGAAAGAAAATGGAGATGAATACATAGCAATGATAACATTGATATAAAACAGGAAGCAACTAATGGGTCTTGACAATCTTAAAAAAAAAAATAAAGAACAAGTAAAAAACCAAACTAAAAAATCCTTTGTGGGTCAAAATCAACAATTAAAACCTTAAGCATTTAATAGTTGTTACATTTGGAATCGGATTGGGAAGGAGGACCTTTTACTTTTTACATTGTTTACAAATGCTGAAATTCCTTTTCATTCTTCAAATTGGCAGTTTATGAGTGTGTGTGTGTGTGTGTGTGTGTGTGTGTGTGTGTGTGTGTGTGTGTTTGATGATAATGCTCAGGACAAACAACAGTCACAAAAACAAAGGAACTCTTATTCATGTGGGAAGTGTAAACTTTGGGTACCTTGGCAGCGTGTATCAATAGTCTATAAAAGTTGCATTGTATTTTTTTTTAAAGATTTATTTATCTGAGAGAGAGTGAGCATGGGGGGAGGGGCAGCGAGAGAGGGAGTGAGAGAATTGCTAGCAAACTCTCTGCTGAGCTCAGAGCCCAACTGGGGGCTCAATCCCAGGACCCTGAGATCATGACCCAAGCCAAAACCAAGAGTTGGACACTCAACCGACTGAGCCACCAAGGCACCCCAAGTTGCACTGTATTTTACTCTGCAATTCTACTTCCTAGAATTTCTCCTAAGGAAATACAAGACATTTAGCTATCTTAAAAGTAGATTAGGTGACCTCTAGAAAGTTTACAAAAAAATTTTAAAGCCATAGTTCTATTTTGTATACAAAGAAATCACTGCTTTAAGCTACTTTGAAATAATGATTTCTTTTCTTTTCCAAACTTATTCAACTTATATTCCTTATTTACTTCAATTTATATCAGCCCATAAGATTAAAAAACAGGCTATACACACTGAACACTGCAAAACATTGCTGAAATTAAAGAGGACATGAATAAATGGAAAGACATCCCAAGTTCATGGATTGGAAAGCTTAATATTGTTAAGATGACAATACTACCCAAGGCGATCTACAGAGTCAATGCAATCCCTATAACAATCTCAATGATATTTTCTGAAGAAATAGAAAAACCCATCCTAAATTCATACAGAATGTCAAGGGACTCCAAATAGCCAAAATAATCTTGAAAAAGAAGAATATAGTTGGGGGACTTACATTTCCAGACTTCAAAACTACAGCAAAGTTATAGTAATCAAAACAGTATAGTACTGGCAGATACACCCCCTCCCAATGGAACAGGATAGAGAGCTCAGAAATACACCCTTGCATATGGGCTCAAGTGATTTTCAACAGAAGTGTCAAGACAATTCAGTGGGGAAAGGACAGCCTTTTTCAACAAATTGTGCTGGCAAAATTGTATATGTACATGCAAAAGAATGAAGTTGAACATTTACTTTACACCATATGCAAAAATTAAAATAGGTAAAGGTCTAAATATAAAAGTAAAACAAGGGAAGCTGGGTGGCTCAGGAAGTTAAACATCTGCCTTTGGCTCAGGTCATGATCCCAGGGTCCTGGGATCAATTCCCACATCATGCTCCTTGCTAGGCAGGGAGTCTGCTTCTCCCTCTGCCTGTCACTCCCCCTGCTTGCGTTCTCTCTCTCTCTCTCTCTCTCTGACAAATAAATAAATAAAATCTTTTTTATTTTTTTTTTATTTTTTTTATTTTTTAAAGATTTTATTTATTTAATTGACAGAGAGAGAGAGAGAGCATGAGAGGGAATATAAGCAGGGGGAGTGGGAGAAATAAAATCTTTTTTAAAAAACGTAAACAAAAAACTCTTAGAGGAAAACACAGGAGAAAACCTTCATGATATTGGATTTGGCAATGATTTCTTGGATATGACACCAAAAACATAGGTAACCAAAAATTAAATAAATAAATAAATAAATTGGACTTCTTCAAAATTAAAAACTTTTGTGCATCAAATGACATTATCAAAGAGAGTGAAAAGACAACCCACAGAATGAGAGAAAATATTTTCAGATTACATATTTGATAAGGGATTGGTATCAAGAATATTAAAAGCATTCCTATATCTCAACAAAAATCCCAGTTAAAAATGGGCAAAGGATTTAAATAGATATTTCTTCAGAGAAGATACACAGATGGCCAATAAGGCCATGGAAAATGCTTAACATCACTAGTCATTAGAGAATTGCAAATCAAAACCACAGTGAGATACCACTTCACACTCATTAGAATAGTTATGATAGTGTAAGTGTAAGTGTAATAATGTAAGTGTAAGTTTTTCTAATCAGTGTGGAGCATTGGAAGAAGAAAAAATTTAAGAGATACTGCACAGAGAGAGCTAATTCCCTGGGTAACGGAGCTGTTGGTGATGCCGTTATCTGAAAGAATAGAGAATGAACAGGATTAGAGGAAAGAGTTTTGAATACATTTTCCAACTTGTTGAGACTGTGACTCTAGTATAAATGTATAGTAGGGGGGCGCCTGGGTGGCTCAGTCACTAAGCATCTGCCTTCGGCTCAGCTCATGATCCCAGGGTCCTGGGATCGAGTCCCACATCGAGTCCCACATCGGGCTCCCTGCTCGGCGGGAAGCCTGCTTCTCCCTCTCCCACTCCCCCTGCTTGTGTTCCCTCGCTCGCTGTGTCTCTCTCTGTCAAATAAATAAATAAAATCTTTAAAAAAAATGTATAGTAGGGAGCTAGAAATATGACTCAGCTGGAGAGACTTGGGAGTTTCCAGCACACGGTGCTCACTGAAACAGAAGTAGGTGAGACAGCTCTGGGAGAGCACAGATGATGAGGCAAGAGGATAGGCGGTAGGGCAGAAACCAGAGAGAAGACGGAAAAATAGTAGAGACAGTGAGGTACGATACAACAGCATGGGTTGAAGCACCAGGTTTAGATCAGGGGGCTGCTATTGAACAGCAGTGTGATCTTGGGCAAGTTACCAAATCTCCCTCATCTCTGGATTCCTCGAGTGTAAAACAGAGATGATAATAGCTATCTCAGAGAGATATCTCAGATAATAGTTACTCAGAGAGTTACTGGGAGGGCTTTTTTTTTTGTTTTTAGGGATTTTATTTATTTGAGAGAGAGTGAGGTGGAGGGGTGGAAGGAGAAGGAGAAATAGATGCACTGCTGAATAGTGAGCCCAAAGCGGGGCTCGATCCCAGGACCCTGGGAATCATGACCAGAGCTGAAGGCAGACGCTTAGCCGACTGAGCCACCCAGCACCGCAGGGCTTTTTTTTTTTTTTTTTTTTTTTTTACACAGAATTATATGTAATGTCCTTAGTACCTAATCTCAGAGCAAGTCTTTGATAAATGGTTGTTCTAAGAAGGAAAAAGGGATAGTTGATAGTGCAAGGTTTAAGAAATGAGGGGGACTGGAACAGAATATGGCAAAGTTAGTCCTCTGGCAGGATGCTTCTGAAAAGTAGAGAATATGCCTCCGTACTGTCTACTGCTTCAGCACCTAGACCAGTCCCTAGCATATAACATACATTCAGTAAATGCTGAGTAAAGGAGTAAAACATTAATAAGATTTAGTCTCGAGAAATGTTAAGTGGAATATGACATGATCTTCAAATGCTTGGAAGAGGAATTGGGTTACATATATATATCTGGCTTGAGAGCAGACAAAAAAAAACCAAGACACTTATTTCAACATAAGAAAAGCTTCCTAAGCATTAAAGCTGTCCGAAAATGAAATGATATTCTTCCCAAGGTAGCAGTCCATCATCACAAGAGATGTTTCAAGTGGAGAGCCATATGGTATAGTTGTAGTTATATGTGTGGGTTTTCGTTCTGGCAAACCTGGATTTGATCCCTGACTTTGTTGCTCTCCAGCCATGAGCAAGGTACATAAGAATGCTTAAGTCTGGGACACCTGAGCGGCTCAGTCGGTTAAGCGTCCGCCTTTGGCTGAGGTCATGATCCCAGGGTCCTGGGATTGAGTCCCGCACCAGGCTCCTTGCTCAGCGGGCAGCCTATGTATACCTCTGTGCTCTCTCTCAAATAAATAAATAAAATCTTAAAATAAAATAAAGATAGCATGTTAAGGGTGCCTGGCTAGCTCAGTCAGTGGAGCGTGGGACTCTTGATCCTGGGGTCATGAGTTCAAGTCCCAGGTTGGTATGGATTCTACCAAAAAAAATAAAATAATAAAATAAAAAACAGCATGCTATACAAGCATTGTAAAACACCCTGAAAGAACAGAATTGATTCCTAACTCTGAAACTTGTCTCCTAGATCTCTTTCTATACCCTTGGTTTATACCTTAGTATCTTACTATTTTTCTACCTCTATTCCTCAGAATGTCAGTTTATGGAACTGAAATGCATGTTTGAAAAATGTATACAGGGGCACTTGGCTTGCACAGTTGGTAGAGCATGAGGCTCTTGGTCTCAGGGTCATGAGTTCAAGCCCCATGTTGGGTGAAGAGCTTACTTTAAAAAATGTAGTAGACAGACTAAAACCTTATGTACTCCATCAGGCCAGTTGCCGATTGAATTTTTTTTTTTAAAGATTTTATTTATTTATTTGACAGAGAGACAACAAGAGAGGGAACACAAGCAGGGGGAGTGGGAGAGGGAGAAGCAGGCTTCCCGCTGAGCAGGAAGCCCAATGTGGGACTCGATCCCAGGACCCTGAGATCATGACGTGAGCGGAAGGCAGACGCTTAACGACTGAGCCACCCAGGCACCCACCCTCAGTTGAATACTGAAGTTGTTAGTTCCCCTTAAAGACTTTTCATTCTTCTCCAAGAGAGCTTGTTCTCTTAAAAATTAAAGACAGGTACCATGGTTTCCCAAAGGATTTTTCTTAGAGCTTCATATTAAATGGTTAGGAGGGTCATAAAGTTCTATTCTAACTGTGGTAAATCCTATTTCTCTAAGACTGACATCATCCACAGAATCTGTAAACATTTATTATGTCTTCTATTAAGTAGGCCAAGTCCTATATTAGTCCAAGGAATACAAAATAAAACATGTAGCCCTTGTTTTTAAAAACTAATGATCCAGGGGTGCCTGGGTGGCTCAGTCAGTTAAGCGTCTGCCTTTAGCTCAGGTCATGATCTTGGGATCTTGGGGTCCTGGGATCAAGCCCTGCATCCAGCTCCCTGCTCAGCAGGGAGTCTGCCCACCTCTCCCTCTGCCCCTCCCCCCACTCATGCTCTTTCTCTCTCTCTCAAATAAATAAATTCTTTTTTTTTTTAAAGATTTTATTTTTATTTACTTGACAGAGAGACACAGCGAGAGAGGGAACACAGGCAGGGGGAGTGGGAGAGGGAGAAGCAGGCTCTCCACCGATCAGAGAGCCCGATGCAGGGCTCGATCCCAGGACTCTGGGACCATGACCTGAGCTGAAGGCAGACGCTTAACGACTGAGCCACCCAGGTGCCCCTCAAATAAATAAATTCTTAAAAAAAAAACACTCATGATCCAATGGTGAGGAAGAAAAACACATGGTTACAATATAATAATTTTAAAAGTTAAAGAAATCATTATTATTTAAAGCAGTCTGACAAATTCCAACCCAAAGGCCAAATCTGACCTGTCCCCTATTTTTGTATAGCCCATGAGCAAAAAAAAAAAAAAGTTTTTTATACTCTTAGATGGCTGGAAAAAAAAAGTATTTTGTTCAAATTTCTGTGTTCATAAAATTTTATTGGATCACAGCACACTTATTCAATTGTATTGTCTATGGCCACTTTGGTTCTATAGTGGCAGGGTTGAGTTGTTGTGACAGAGTCCTTAACATTTTTACTATCTTTACAGAGAGTATGTTGACCTCTGATTTACAGGATTCATTTCAACAAACAGCGTGCTAGTGTAAAGCATTATGGCTACTTGTAAACACACAGCTTAACTGAACATGGCTGAAATCAAATGGTCCTCTACTACTTCAAAATATCCCCGAAGAGAATAAAATAGGAGTTGTGTTCTGAATACATACCTAGTGTCCTTAGTGCAGTGGGCAGCTGTGAGGACCCACTTATTTTTCACTAAGCTTCCCCCACATATATGAGCCAGAATTTTGCCTGATTGAATCTGCAGGCTAACTACCCATGGCCACGCACCAGTTTGAGCTGTTGTGCCCCCTATTATCCGAGACCCTTCCAATACATCTGCAAGTGGTGCTGTCCCACAATCTAAAAATAAAAATCATATTATTTGTACTGAACATCTAATGATATGTATTCATAATCTTGACATACTAATATAATCTTTTAGATTCCTATTTAAAAAACAGATAGAGCAATCTGTATACCTAAGGCATGCCCATATTTTGGGAAAAAAAAATCTTAAAGGAGAGTTAAGACAAACATGCCTTAAATGATCACTACAAATAGAAAGGCATTAAATCAACACAGTTCGTTAATTTTAAAACTCTATTCCCCCCCAAAATAAAAATGAGGTAAGTTTCTCTGACCAGGTATCACGTTGTTGCCCATGCAAAATGGCAATTAAAGAGCCTGGGACTGGGGAATCAAGAGCTACAAGTTCTAATATTCGCCATTTGACTTGCTGGGTGAATTTTTCTCAAGTGTAGTAGGACAAGATCACCTACCAGCCTTTTCAACTCTGAATTCCACTGAATTATTAATCTTTAAAATGGGAATGACACACCTCAATGTTTTGAGCATATAGAGCTGCGCTCCACAAGCGTATGGCATTTTTGCTACAATGACTACTACACCGTCATAATTAATCGGACTGCCTAGGTCTGTACATTTTAAAGGCAGTTGGGACAGCAGAAAAGGAGGGAGCCAAATTCAAACACTACAGAAGTGGGGAGCATGCACGGGAGGGAGGCTGCTGAAAGAGAGGAATGAATGGATACTGCCCTCTGCGGCCTCCGCTCCCTCCGCCAGGGCCTGGAGCGCCTTCCGCCTCCCTTGCCCGGCCTCCCGCCACCCCGGTGCACCGGCCCGCTCCCGCCAGGAGCTGTGCCCAGTCCTTTCGGAAAGTGAGTCGAGTCCGGAGTCCGGGAGAACGCTCCCCACGAACAGCAGCGCGGCGCTCAGGAGCCCCAGCCCCATTTGGGAACTCCTGCTGGGCAAGATGGCGGCAGCCAGTGGCCGCCGGCCTGGGCCGTGGAGCACGGCCTAGGAGATGAGGTGTGCGGGTGGCCGTGCGGCGCGGGAGGGCCAAGCACGCGGAGGAAGCCAGGGGCGTGGGGGCGGGAGGCCTGGGAGGCTGGCCCAGTTGCCCGGATGCGTGTGGCCTGTGGGCGGTGTTCTCGTTGGCGGCCACTCGTTGGACCGATGCGCGTGAGGAGTCCTGCGCCCGGCCAGCGTCGGAGTGCTCGTTAATGGGCCAGATCCACAGGCCCGTCCGGTACAGTTGGGCTTTTGTGCTGGGAGGGGGATGCAGAGCCACTGGGCCCTGCTAGTTCAGACTTGTAGGGCCTGGAAGGCTTCCAGAAGTAAGGGCATCTAAGCCGAGGCACGTAAGCTGGGGAGGGGAGACAGAAAGCAGAAGAAAAAGCAAGTGCAGAGGTTGGGATCTGAGATGAGATAGGCACCCAGGAACCCAGATTCTGTGATAGAGATCCATCTCGTTATTGTTTTGTAGTAGTTTGTCTTCAGCCCGTCACGGCAGGGTGAGCTGATAAAATCAAACTGAAGGACCTGCAAAGTTAAGGACAAAAGCTGACTGATGGTAACTGCATGTGCTCTAGCTCTTTTGTTCTCTCTGTTTCTCCCCCTTCAGTCCCTAGCCTGAGAGATGAATTATTCCTGGCCCCTGTCAGAACCCCTGAGATGCCCTTTGACATTCCAAACACTGTGGGGAGAGGACAAGGATTAGTGGCTCCAGTTAATTGATCCATTGAACAAGTGGGTATTAACCTCACACTCTGCACCCACGCTGAAATAAATATCATATCACAGGAGGGGTGCTAAGACCTGGCCCTCTTGAGGCTCCTGAGTGGTTCAATGGGTTAAGCATCCAACTCATTTTCTGCCCAGGTCATGATCTCAGGGTCGTGAGATGGAGCCCTGCTTTGGGCTCTGGGCAGGGAGTAGAGCCTGCTTAAGATTCTCTCCCTCAGGGGTGCCTGGGTGGCCCAGTCCTTGAGCGTCTGCCTTGGGCTCAGGTCATGATCCCAGAATCCTGGGATCGAGTCTTGCATCGGGCTCCCTGCTCCGCGGGAAGCCTGCTTCTCCCTCTCCCACTCCCCCTGCTTGTGTTCCCTCTCTCGCTGTGTCTCTCTCTGTCAAATAAATAAAATCTTCAAAAAAAAAAAAAAAAAGATTCTCTCCTTCATCCTCTGCCCCAACCCCTCCTCTTAAAAAAAAAAGAGAGAGAGAGGGCGCCTGGGTGGCTCAGTTGGTTAAGCGACTGCCTTCGGCTCAGGTCATGATCCTGGAGTCCCGGGATCAAGTCCCACATTGGGCTCCCTGCTCAGCGGGGAGTCTGCTTCTCCCTCTGACCCTCTTCCCTCTTGTGCTCTCTATCTCTCATTCTCTCTCTCTCAAATAAATAAATAAAATCTTAAAAAAAAAAAAAAAGGGAGAGAGAGAGACCTGGCCCTCTAACCCAGGGAACATTATAACTTGGCTAGCAGAGAAAATTACTTGGGGGACAAAGTAATAAACCACGACACCTAAACCTAATACAAATTCAGACACAAGGGATTGGTGTGGGCTGTGGCAGTCTGGGAAGTTTCCCCCAAGGAGGGGGTTGTAAGCTGGGCCTAGACTGAGGGGGAGGATCAAGAAGAGGAAGGAGATGTAGTGAAGACCAGCCAGGCCAAAGGTGCAGCATAAACAAAGGCATGGATATGTATTCGTGTTTCTCCAGAGAAACAGAACCAATAGGCTACATAGAGATATATAAGATATTTATTATGGAGGGGCGCCTGGGTGGCTCAGTCGTTACGCATCTGCCTTCGGCTCAGGTCATGATCCCAGGGTCCTGGGATCGAGCCCCGCATCGGGCTCCCCGCTCGGCGGGAAGCCTGCTTCTCCTTCCCCCACTCCCCCTGCTTGTGTTCCCTCTCTCGCTGTGTCTCTCTCTGTCAAATAAATAAAATCTTAAAAAAATATATTTATTATGGAAACTGGTTCATGCAATTGAGGCTGAGAAGTCCCACGATATGCCATCTGAAACCCAAAGAACTAGGAAAACCAGTAGTTTCAATCAGTCCCAGTCCGAAGGGCTGAGGACCAGGAGCTCTGATGTGGGACGACAGGAGAGACGGACGTCCCACGTCAAGGTGAAAGGGAGGATTGACCCGTCCTCTGTCTTACTGTTCCATCTGGGCCCTCAGTGGACTGTACTGAATGACATGTGTATACCCTGGTGAGGGCAGATCTCCTTTCCCTCCGTCTTTGGATTTAATGCTAATCTCTGAACAGAAACACTCTTAGAGACACACCCAGAAATATTTTACCAGCTCTCTGGGCATACTTTAGTCAAGTTGATACATAAAATTAACCCTCACAGTAATAGTAATGTAGTGTGTGTGTATGATCTTACTATTGTTTTTACTGTTTTCTACTATAGAGACAAAAGAGAGAAGCCATGCCTTAAAAATTTCCATCAGGATATGTAAGAGAAAAAATTAAGTTAAAGGCTTCTTCCTGGTTTTGTATTTGATTTGATTCTGTTTTGAGTCCAGAATCAACATGTGTGCCCTTCTTCCCTTTAGCAGAGTCATTTAATACGGCTTTTAGATATGCAGGAGTAAGCCTTGAACCTGCTTCCTACTTAGGGGTAAGGGCATTTATTGCTCAGTGTAAAGAGAAATTTTTCAGTGTGCAAAGGAAGCTGGGGAAGAGGGAGGAGAGAAGCAGGCAGCCCAACAACATGGCAGAAGGCCAGGCCTGAGCCAGAAAGAGATCTATGAGAGTTTCACAGGGTTAGGTTGACGCAGGCTTTTTAAGAACAGTGATGTCTAATGTTTGGTTTTAAATTGTTTTATCGTTGCTATCCTGAGCTGTGCTGAAGGTTGCTTCTGTTAACCCCACACCCTCGGGGACAAGGGAACAGTGTGAGCTGTGGTAGTCTAGGCGGTTGGTCACATGATGGGGAATTAAAGCAGGGGTTGGCAACAGAACAGCTGCTGTGCTCATATCATCTCTCAGAGGTCATCATGGCTGGCAGCATTAAATCAAAGGAGGCTATTAGTTGGGGCTTACAGGTGGTAACACGTGGTAAAGGGAGCCGAGCAGATCAGGGCAGGTCTGTGCAGGAATCAGTGGGTGAGAAGTAGGTGGTAGTGGAGGGAACAATTTGCAGCTTGGACTGACCCATGGGCAGATAACAAACAGATTTCTGTTCCCCAGATATTTTAGTGGAAGGTGATACTTGAAAGGGGAGAAATACAGTTGGGGTGTGTTTCTCTGCCGGGGTGATGATCACATGATCAGACTGGGAATAGATGTGAAAGCAGGTCAAATGACAGGTCTTACTGGGACAGATAACAGAGATTTAACAAATTTCTTTGACATATTCTGATCAAAGACAGGTGCATGTAGCCAAGTCATGAAAGGGCACTGAAAAATGCAGTGGACCAGTAACTGCAGAGGTCCTGTGCCTGGATTTCCTCTGCATTTTCTAGATCTTCACTCTTCTCTCCTGCATTGTCACTTCCTTTCTTTGTGGGATGACTCCCAACAGCGGAAGAATATCCTCGGTGGGGGGCGTAGGCAGCCTCCCAAATTACCTCCAATTAGCCCTCTCCTGGTATTCACACCCTCATTAAACCCCCACTCCCCACTGCCATTAATGTTAGCTGGATTTAGTGACATGTTTCTAGCAAATAGAAAGTTGCAGAGGTGATGGGCTATCCCTTCCAAGATTAGGTTATAAAAAGACTGTGCCTTGTTTTTGATGTTTCTCTCTACCTCTCTTGCTCAGAAGGAAGCTGGCTGCCTTGTTGTGAGTTGCCTCCAGCAGTAGCCAGTGAGGGACTGAGTCCTCTATCTTCCTGCCCAAGAAGAACCCAATCATAGCACACCACATGAGTGGGATGGAAAGCAGATCTCACCCTGGTCAAACCTTCAGATGAGACCACAGTTCTGGCTAACACCATAATGTCGACCTCATGAGAGACTATAAGTCAGAGGCACCCCACTAAGCGACACTCAAGTTTCTCACTCCCACAGAAACTGTGAGCTAATTTCCTAACTCATTTTATGAGGCTAGCATTACCCTAAAACCAAAACCATACAA